TATATATTTGTACAGGACGCCGGAAGGACAGTATGTGTCCCCCCTATTTGGGTTGGGGTCCCTTTAAAGGGCAACAAAGTGTTAACTGTCAGGCAGGAGGAAGTGGCTAGAAAACACTGGAAATGCCACAAAACCTATGGAGGAGTTGGAGTAGAACAGGTGTGCAGTGAACGCCATGTGAGTTTCTGAGCTGGACTGGGCTTTGCTGAGAACTGGTTGTTCTGTGGAAAGTTCCTAGAAATCTCTGGGACTCTGGTAGTATTCCTGTGAGCAAGATTTAAGTTGGTGAGACTCTATTTTATTTTGTTATATGCTGAGGTTAAGCTATTTTTTTGTTGGATTGCCTTGGATGTCTGCCTTTGGAAAAATAAAGACTGTTGGATGAGAGGTTCTAGGATTGATTATTGTAAGTGTCCAAAAATTTTAATGAATGTTTCTTTCACAAAGCTCAGTCACTTAGATCTCATAACAAAAGGACCCCCAAACCAAATGGGGATCCTTAGAGAAGTTAATGTAAAGCAAACAGGGGCTCCACCAAATATAGAAGAGTCAAAAGTGGTTTTATTGCTAAAAAGTACAAAAAAATGACTAAAAATATGTATGCAGTTGAATTTGTATCAATTAAACTATTTTGGACTCTTCTACATTTGGTGGTGACCTTGTTTGCTTCAACTAAGCTTTTTATGCATAGCCACAAATGTCCAGAAATAGCTAAAACACAACAAACAAAAAAAAAAACGAATCACAATTTATAAATTCAACTGCATTCAAAATTGAAGTAATCACTATTTGTACATTATGAGCCTTGGTGTTGCCCCCTACAACCCTTTTTGCCTTAAAGAGAGGTCTTTGGATGCAATGTCTGGTGAGTGTGGATCATTTACTGTATGCGTCACCATGCCTTTTTGGAGTATATGGAGTTACTTTTAGGTAACCTCAATCTCAGTTTAGTCACCACTATCTATGTCCCATCATTATCTCTTTCATAGATTGGCGTAGGAAGCACACCAAAGGAGATTACAATCTAATCTGCCTACCCCACAGACAGAAGACCCAGTCTGAGACAGAAGGCTAACCCTATGTTTTTAGACTGTGGGTGAAAATACCCACAAACATAAAAACTCCATGCAAGTAATGCCTGTGACAATCAGACCCAGATACCAGCACTGCAAGCTAAGAAGGCTGCTGACCGCTTAGCCCCTGTGCTACACTTCACAGCTTTAAAACAATCTCAGAAATTATCGATAGCTAATTTTAACAAGTGGATGGAATAGTTTAAAGTCGAAGTCTTGGCAGATACAAAAAAACACAAAGCAAGCAGTGCAAGTACCAGAATCTGAGCTGGTATCAGACTTGTATAATCCCTGTACAGCAGAACTCAAAATGGGGCAGGGAGAAGAAGCACAAGAAGCCAATCAGGTGTGATGTGGTGCTCACCTGACACCAAGGGAAATAGTGATAGGAGGAGAGAATGGAGTGACAGAGACAGAGAAATAACTTCCTCACTCTGCTGCTCCTCTTTTTCACTGTTCAGTCATAGGCTGGGGGAGGGACAAGGCCTGTAAGTGGTACTGAACTTCAGCAGAGAAAAATCAGCTCTTCTGCTGTGCTGTGTGGCAGAGCTGGGTAGATCTTAGGACGGGAAGAACTTCTACAAATCCTTTGGCAGGAAAAAATAACTCCAATATGTATATTTGTGTTTTTGCATTTAAATGTACAGCAATTGAATCCAACAAAAGGACAAATAACCTCACTTACCCACTAGGAATGCTCTTGACAATCCCAGCCTTGTATTTTTCTTCAAAGTTTACTGCATACGAAATCCCTGTCGCCACCACCGTCTAATGAAAATAAAATGGAAAACAGTGTATCCTTTCCTACAATATACACCAGGTTCCGGAGTCTTCATTCAACAATCAAATAATAATTTATGCAGAGCCATCCCTATAGTGAGGCAGCCTGAGTCTGTTGCCTTAGACAGCACCTCTTTAGGTCACATGGGTTGCTAGAAGCTGAGTGGGGCGCTCTGGCCAGCATCCCACCCAGCTCTTGGTAACCAGTGATGTCAGTTAGCTGGGCGGGATGCTGGCCAGAGCTGAGTGGTGCACCACCAGGACCCTATCAATGCCTCCTATGTGATAGCACAGAGGAAGTGGCGACATGGAGGCATCAGGGTCTATTAGACCTATAATGTTACCTATTGCCCCCCGAAGAAGCTGATGAAGCCCAGATTGTGCCTCATTAGCTTCTTCAGCTAAAGCAGCTGGAGAAATGACAGCCTGAAACCGGAAGTGGCAAAATCATTGTTGTTTCCGGTTTCAGTAATCAGAGGGGAGATCAGCCACTAAAAGTGTACTGAGTTCCCCCCGATCCAGCCACCAACACCCACTGTGTTGGTCCCAGGCCCGCAAGGGGGGCAGAGGAGCCTGGGATAGCTAACAAAGATGGCGGAGGGGAGCACACACTCCGAACCTGTATACAAGTGATTAGATGGCTCTACAGCCACCCAAACACTTCTATGTTAAAACTGATAGCTGGCTGCAAAGAACTATACCAAGATCATAGCTGTTGTAGCTCGATATAACCAGGACCGCACATTTTATATACATATTATGGTTCGGAAGACAACTTATCATCAACTTAAACAATTATTTTAAAGTATTTTAAAAGCTTACTTGCAGCATCTTTCATTTAATCATTTTTTATTAACTTGAAATCCAACTTTGAATTTTCTAGAAAATTTGACTAGTCAGTTCTGTGGCACAGCCCCCTCCATCCTTGCACATTATAGCCTTCTTCTATTCTGGGAGAGTCTGTGCTGGCCCAGTTCCTCTGCCTCTCGCTTCACCTTGCTACATAACCGGGAGAGGATAAAAGAGGAGCACTATAGAGTGTTACTGGATTGATAGTTCTGATAGTCAGCTGGGGCTGTTGACATCACATCCAAGAGTGATGCTGGCCATCATTGAACCCCGAAGAGAACAGGCAAAGTATGACAGGGGTCAATGCTGGAGAGAAAATAAGTACTGCAGCAAGAGGTGCTGAAGTTCTTCAATGGTGCTTCTTCTGGACAACTTCGTCTAAGGCGATGCTGCTCCAGGGAAGGGAGGGAATGGTCACGAGGTGGGGAGAAAACTTGTGGTTGTTCTGCTTATTTGCTGTTCTTGGGGGTAAATGCCTGATCACTCTGTCAGCGGCTCTGTCTGGCATCCCACCCAGCTCACTGAAGTCATTGGTTGCCAGGAGCCCGGCAGGATGCCAGCCAGAGTCTCCTGATCAGCTCATGGCAACCAGATGTCAGGGAGCTGGGCAGGAAGCTGCACAGAGCGTCACAGTTTGCTAAGAGCTGTTAGCAACCTGGGACGCTGTGGCCGCCCCTCTACCAGGACGACAGAGCTAAGGTATGTGCTATTTTTAATCTTTACTTGGACAAACTCAGATACACCAATTGAATTAGAAAGAGTCACTCCTTTATTAGGGCCTGGACCAATGGATCACACTAGGCCCAAGTACATAATTTACGGAGTGCATTACTCCACAAAGAAACAGGAGATACAGCAACTGGCCTTGCAAAAAAATCAATATATTCTGATGGAGCTCAGATTCCTCTTTTTCCAGATGTGTTAAATGCATCTTCCTAATCAGATGCATTTCGAATTCTTCCCTTGGATAAAATCCATGAAGCAGGAGCCATGTACAATTGGGGATTCCCCTTACATTTTTTGGTGAATAATTCAGGTCGTACCTTCATTCTAAGATCCCCAACAGACTTCCAAGCAGCCTCTCTTTAAATGCTCAAATGAGAAATACATACAAAGCCACCATAGTTGATGGTTTTGGTCAAAATTACACTACCGGATGAAATGCACGTCCGTTTCTCTGCTTACCACAATGATCTCTATCGGAATCGGAACGCGGAGTTTATGCTTGAACCGCTCGTTTACCTCCTTCACCGCAACACATACGAGGAAGGCCAGAAGTCCGGCAATGAAATCACAGATATTGGTTTGTGCAATGTTCTTGAAGATGTCTATAATGGTCTAGAAGTTAAGAAAAAGAAGGAATAGTAACATGAAACTTGTCTTACGACATTAAAACCAGTGGACAGGCAATCAGATTATTTTATTCTCTAAGGTGCACAAGCTAGACAGGTTTGAGGTGGTCCATTTATTTTAATCTCTCACTCACTCACTCTCTCTCTATAT